GAGTCACCTAGGCCAATTTCCCGTGCTCGTTGACCCGATTTATCTAGAAGACTAACCGAGCCAAGAGGAGCTAATCCTTTCAACTCTCACGAACTCACTTTTGTGAGCTTCTCTTTCTAAACGAGGTTTCCGGACGAGATGATCTAGGTTTAACCTCGAGGAGTGTCCTCGAGTTTTCTAAACCGGCTTCCCGGGCTCATTATCTCAATCCACGAAGTGGCTCGGAATAAGAGGAGTCTAATCCATACTTCATCGCGAACTCACATTTTATTCTTTTTTTTCTTTTTCTTTTTTTCTTCTCTTTTTTTTTTCGAATGGGGTGGCACACAAGGATACATCACAAATATAATATAATGATCATCACAACTCAATCAAACGTACCACAAGTGTATAGATAACACGTTTACAATGATATCAAACATAAGGGAAGCATGCCTCAAGACAATCAATCGAGAACAAACAAGGGACAAAATAATTCCGTGAATCCACATGCGGGTTCCAATATCAACGAATTATCATTCAATTTTAGGACACCGTCCAATTCATCAAGTACATAAAACATGAACGTTAATAGTGAACCAATCAATAATCTCGACTCACCACTTAGCTATTTCGACTCTTGAACAAACATAAAGCTTCATGCGGGAGAGGCGACACGCACACACCAAAAACTAAAACAAAACTGGTCCAAGACACGACAAATACGAAAAATAAAACACCAAAAACAAAGAAAATATCACCTAAACATGCATCATCACGAAAATCTCTCCCCCACACTTAAAACAATAAACAAAAAAACTTTCGTCTTTTGGAGGAGCCGTGAGAATAAAAAAAATATATTTAATTGATTTTATTTGAGAGGTGCGTGAGTACCAGTGTTTTAAAATGTGTATAGTGTAATGCGTCGCGTTTTAGTCTTTATATTGCGTAGTATAAATAACTTTGCGTGTTGCTAAGCAATCTGAGTATAAAAAAAGATTTTTAAAGAAATATTATATATGTACTTTCATATAATAATATTGGATGGTTGATTATAAAAATTATCATAATATTTGAATTAACTCAAAATAACATCTAAAGAATTATGTTATACAAATGATTAACGTAAATACCATAGTATAAATATTTTTGAACTCATGCCAAAAATAAATCTTTCAGAGTCGATCGATCTAGGTGTTGGATCTATGAGGATCTCGTTACGTTCAAATTACGAATTCAATATCAAAACGTAAACCTATGCGCAGCGGATCTAAAGGTTTGCGTAGAGAACTTACGGTTCAAAATTTATGGCGATCTGGCTGATATTCTGGATTGTCGTACACAGCACACCAATGAATCAGATCACACCAACGGTTGACCTCAAATCACGTCTTGGGATTGCACGAACAAGATCGGATAAAAAACGGATCAAACGGGTGCAACGGATAAAATGAAACTTGCAGTCTGGGAGCTTCCGGCGGCGCGTGCAGGCGCGTGAGGCGGCGGACGGTGGCGATATCGGCGGTGATGGAAAGCTGACGTCGAGACGGTCGTGTGGGTAAGCTGCGCACCTTGATCGGACCTCCGGTTAGATCTGTACGAAAAATTATATTTCGTCTCGATTTACCTACAGATCTTCTACTGTATTACTCAATACACCATTCTTCAACTTGTACCAGTGGAACAACAATAAGAAGACAAAGCTCGAACAGAGAGAGATGGGGCGGCGTGTATATGCGTGTATGATTAATTTATGATCTTGTGTGTTCTCTACCCATGAACTTATTGATGTATATATAGAGCTACAGTAGGGACCCTTAGGAGATTAGAATTAAGACTCCTTTATTAATTAAAATACTTGTGGATCAGTCCACTTATTTTAATTAACTAAATAATATTAAATGGTTCACCAACATAATATTACTAGTACAATACCCGTGTATTACACGGGTGCTTGTTAAAAAATTATTCTTAAATTTTAAAATTAATGAGAAAATTATATTAAATTTAGTTTACCTTTTTACAAAAAAAAAGTATATTACTATATATTTTAGAATGATATGTGTTACTTATGACTTACATGTGTTATATTATATTAGTTTTTATAACTTATATCATATAACTACTTGAAATATAAATATATTAGTTGATAAATAATTTTATTTTTCTAATTAATATTAAAAATAATTTTATTATTATTATAAAGATAAATATAAATTATTTTTTTTTATACATACAATATGGATGTTAAATCGAAGCTTATCAAAAGAAGATTAATTTGATATATTACATATGTAAAACTGATAAAAAATACAAAAGTTATTAACTTTTATAATATATATACAATTCAATAGTTATAATAAGAAATGATATTAAAATACAATTAATACATGTAACATGACCATAAATAATCAACATGTTTATGGTAATCCAAACCTAATTATTTTTTATTTGGAATTAAATTAAAATTTACCCAAGCCTAATAACGAAGCATGTAATTTTGCCACATAGGATTTCGAAGCACCAGAAGCAGCCACGTAGGCTCAACGCATTCTGTATTAATATATAGGGGGATTGCATTATCTTTTCCTAGCCCAATTTACAGTTGAGACTCCAATTATAATTACTTGATTTATCTCCTCATGTTTAAAATATAATGTCCATTAATTAATTCGATTACTGACAACCAAGAATTAACAAATTTATTATTATCTCACTGAAGCTAGCGCTCGTTCATTACATTCATATTATGCCTGAATTTAATCTACCTGCAGGGTTTAGCATAACATTCCTTCATTAACTCACTCCGGGGCATCTCAAACTAACGCACATGGTGACCGTAAATATCCTAACAGCACATCCTACATGTAGCAATATTACCCAAGATAGAGGGTCTATTGGCCTAGTTCACTAAGCCTCACCCATGTGAATCAAAGTAATAAGTACTACACATATATCATGTTTAATATCTTACGGGTTAAGAGTACGCTGTAATTAACCAAGGCCTAGTTCGTTTACGACGATCAGCACAAAACGAACCGCTCCTCTCTGGGATCTTGTTAAATACATAAATGTACTAGTGCAACTAATCAGTCAAGACAAACTGTACCGTTGACACTATAATCGTTCACGATGGGGTGTTCATGTCCATCTGGGTTGTGAACCATTATTCTTGTTTCGCGAGTAACTGAGAATATGATCTTCAGTTCGCCCGATGACAACCCACACTATCAAATGGAAAACAACAGAACGTAGAACTTGTTTAATCTAACATGTTTCTCATTCATAAAGGGTAAAAGTGTAATATCATCCAAAGCTAAACTTTCAGTATATAACACTAACACTAGGATTGTATGGAATAGGCTTGTTCGTAACTTTATTCTCTATGTGTTAAGCAACGCGTTAATTTGTTGTTCATGTTTATCCTCCTGTTACGAAAAGTTATTGAGGATAAATCTAATGAACGAGTAGGTTAATCGAATCTTTTAACCGAACAATCACTCGCCCGTTAATTGCATCTCCAACCAAAATGATTATCCCCGACTCCCTAGCTTTCTTATCCCTGTTGATTAATTGCTTTTACTTTGATCTCTAAATTTGCGTTTTGAACTTCGTAGTTGTTATTGTTAAAATCAAACCCAATCTTGAATTAGAATGTTTAAGAATTTAATTTCTTCTTTTTGTGCTTGAATAATCATGCATCATAATCCGGCTAATCTTCCTCGTGAGATCGACCCGGGCAACGAATCTTTCGATTCGATACTCGGTAAAATTAAATAATTTTCTACAATAACAGGAGTTTTCCCTGCTTATTTGCTCTCAAACCTCTCTTGGACCTCGAGGTACTCTTTGTCGATGTCGAGTTATGAGGTTGGATTCCTCTTTCAAGTCGTCATTCATTGAGTTAAGACGAGTCACTTCACTTATGCGATAGTTAACTCAAGTCGTCGTTCCCTTACTCGAATCGACTTTGCCATAACTCGACTTGAGTCCCGATCTAGTTATCCTTAGCCCGATTTACTCTTAGTATGGCTATATCAATAAATTATATTTATGTATATAATATTAAAATTATAAGTTAGATAATGTTACTATGTTTTAAAGTTTGACCTT